AACATAAGCATAGAATAAATCTATTTATAGATCTTTACTAGATACTAGAAATTCTAGGAAAAGTTCATAGTTCATATCCATGGAATGCAGACTAGTTATCTATGCATTAACCTCTGACAAGAATACTTTTAAAACACGTTTTAAAACATATACTTATATGTTTTAAAGGTGTTTATAGGTAGGGAGGGAGGGAGGAAGAGAGGAGAGAGAGACTGATTTAGAGCTGGAGGTGTGAGGGTCGTCCTTGCTATAACTTATCGAAGTACTGCCTAGGACCCGCCCCCACAGCATCCCTGGAGCTTGCTAGAGATGCTCCAGACCCACTGACGCTGAGTCTGCATTTTAACAAGATTCTTAAGTAATTTGTATGCGCTTTAAATATTTAAAATTTGAGGACTGTGGTCAAAATCACCAATGTTTTTGTTTTTCCTTCATTGCTTATTAAAGGACAGTGGATCTGTCTGCTACTTCAAACCACGTCTTTGCTTCTTTGAATTATATAAACTACTTTTGATTCTAAAAGTTCTAACCAAATTTGAAGGTTCCAATCAGATACCAAAACCATCAAATATTCATTAAAAATTGTAAGGGGAGGCCCTGGCCGGTTTGGCTCCGCGGTTGGAGTGTCGGCCCGTGGACCGGAGAGTCCCAGGTTCGGTTCCCGCCAAGGGCACGTACCTCGGTTGCAGTTTGTCCCCGGCCCTGGTTGGGGTCATGTGGGTGGTGACCAGTCAATGTGTCTCTCTCACATTGATGTTTCTCTCTCTTCTGCCCTCTCTCCCTCCTATTCTATCTGAAGATAAATGCAAAAGTGTCCTCGGGTGAGGATTAAAAAAAAAAATTTTAAAGGGGAAAAAAAGTCAATCTGTTTCTTATTACACCAGGCATATAATCTAAGTGAAAACATAAGCATTGTTGACTATGACACCATTTATTTAATATGTAATTTAAATTTGATATGGCATTTATTTCATATATATTTTAAGTGTGAAATGGTAAGTTATCGTAATTTTATATAAACTATATGACCATGAAATAAGTCAATCATTATTTTAATAATGGATGAGTATTTCTTTAAGAAAAAAATGTTTAAGAAGTCTCCAAGTTATTTTATTGGCACTAAACATCTTTATTTTTCATGTCATTGAAATTTGTTAAGTCCCGCTTTAAGTTCCGGGGGACACTAAGCCCATTCATGCTCGCCAAGTCACCTGAGGAATTGTCTCTCCTGAACCCACCTGGCTGTTCAATTTAGACTCCCAGGGAAGGAGGTGCTCTGCCTCCCCCTCCACCCCGTCCCGCCTCCAGGTGCCCGAAGACGGGCGAACGAACAAACTTGACTGATACAAACAGAGTAACAGGGATAAAAGGAAACCACACCTGGATAGCCACAACCTGGGTAATCAGGCTCCACCTAAGGACTCAGGTATGGTAACTGAATCAGTGGTCTAAGGGTAGCTGTTTCTACTGGAAATAACGGAAATTCCTCAGTAGCTAAAATTTCAACCCCCTGGAGTAATCCACCTGCTACCTTAGGACTGTCAGACATACAACTGTTTTACATGATGTATTTAGTCTTGTTGCAAAGTTAATGTTTTTGAAGCTATATATGTATATGGATGTATACACACATTTCTAAACATATACGTATATATCAAGACGTGCACATTTAATAATTAATCCCCTGGGAACCAAGAAGCTTTGTAGGAAACCACATAAACTTCCAAAACCTTTATAATTTAAAGTAAACAGTAAAAACACGTTGTACTTGAATTGAAAAATCTTCGCTGAAATCAGATGTTTTAAAAGCAGTGGTGCACTGGCCAGTGGCTAAGTTAGTTGGAGCATTGTCCTATATACCAAAAAGATTGTGGGTTCGATTCCTAGTCAGGGAACATACCTAGGTTTTGGGTTCTATCCCACTGGGTACATATGGGAGACGGTTGATTAATGTTTCTCTCTTATATCTATGTTTTTCTTGCTCTCGGTTTCCCTTCCTCTTTCTTTAAAAATCAATGAAAACATATCCTTGGGTGAAGATTTTTTTTTAAATCGGGGTAATGCCTGAATGGTGTGGCTCAGTGGTTGAGCGTTGACCCATGCACCAGGAGATTGCTAGTTCAACTGCCAGTCAGGGCACATGCCCAGGTTGTGGGCTCGATCCCCAGTGAGGGGCATGCAGGAGGCGGCCAGCCAATGTTCTCTCTCATCCATGTTCCTATCTCTCTCTCCCTCTCCCCTCCTCTCTCTCTAAAATAAATAAAGAAATTTTTTTAAAAAAGGGGTAAAAAGCAACCATTTAAATAGTATTTATAAGACCATTACATACTGATACAAACACATGATACAAAGTTTAAAATAATCAACGAAGGAAAATCACTGTATAGTAAGAGTCCCTCAACTCTGCACACTAAAATATCGCACTGTGCCTCTGGGGTGCACCTCGGCCCCAGAGGAGAAAAATGCTTAGGGAAGAAGATGCTAACAGCGGATCTTTGCCACCTAGGACCACGCGGACAGTCACATCTGATGTAATTTTAAACAAGAAGCTTTATACCTTAATCGTAGAACTAAAAGGTAGTGACAGTGACATGTTATAAGTCATTCCCTCCCCCTCACAGTGAGGGAGCAAGGCCGTGGTGCATGAACGGAGACAGGTATAGACACTGGGACACCTGGCTCACCTCCTGGCTCTGCCCTGAAGCTGTGGCCTCAGACCCCTTTCTTAGCCTCGCTTAGCGCAGGTCGTGCCTGTGACGGTGCTTTTGTGAATACAGCAACAGGCAGGCAAAGTATGTAGCCTGGGGCTGACTCTGAAACTGTGGTGAACAGCAGCACATATTGTTATGATGATAATTCTAACTAAGAATTTCTTTTAAAAAAATTGATTTTAGAGAGAGAGACAGAGACAAAGAGAGAAAGAGAAACAATGATTTGTTTTTCCACTTATTTGTGCATTCATTGGTTGATTCTTGTATGCGCCCTGATTGGGGATCGAACCCGAACCCTTGGGGTATAGAGACAATGCTCTAACCAACCAGGGAGAGAGACCCACCATTTCTACAAAAACATCAGTTACTGCTTTCAAACCTCTTTGTGAATATTTCCCAGCCCATAGCCAAACCAATTACCTTAATTATTTCTGGCACGGAGATATTATTGACTTTAAGTGATTAAAAACTCATCATGTTCAATCTACCAACTCAATCACATGTTGAAGAAAAAATGTTAAAGGCATCATCTTGATTGGATTGATCATAGGGTAATATGCATTAAAAATCCTTTCTGATTTCTGAAAGATTTTAACCTTTCTCCTGCTTCCACAAGTAGCCTAAGGCAGGAAACACAGGTTCGAGCGGAGGGGAGGATTTATTCACCATACTCATGCGACATGAGAAGGGACTTTGGAGAGGTGGCATCAGCACGCAGATAGCCAGAAGGGTCCTGAGACAACCATGGGCAGAACACCGGGGACAAACCAATGAGGTTAACTTATTATCAATGATTCCTCAGGCAGCCTTACTTATACTGGATCACCATCTGACAGGGCTGGGCTGATGTGCTGTACAGAAATTCTTCCACTGGCTGCACAGACACAGCTATAAATCCACTGCCCACGGAGGGCAGGTGTCTGTGTCCAACACATCTGTCTGCGCTAACGGAAACGACTCTCAGACACCATGATTTTATAAAATGTTTCAAATAAATTCTTCCATGTAATTCCCTCATGAAATCCTTGCTCTCTGAAAATAGGCAAAACAGTTTCTATTGCATTTAAGGTTTGTTTTTTTGGTGAACAGAAGGAAAAGAAGTTCAAACTAACTTTTTATGAACAGTCACTGGTGAACTTACATGCTGTGTCACAGAACTTATATGGGTGTTATGCACTCACGAAACAAATCAATCATTCAAATAGGAGACCACCTGCTTCAAATGCATTTTACTCCACCGACAACATGAACCAGAAATTCTTCATCTACAATATTTAATTCTAGTTTTCTCAATAAAAAAATAACTATTAGTTCATTCTTAAAGATAGGAAGAGTGATGTTTTTCCTATTTTGTGATCGTTTTACACTGATTTATTTTTCAGCATATACTGAAATATATTTCATCTACTTTCAAGAGATGTTACTATTTTTTTCATTTTGTTTCCTGACATTTAGACTGTAGCTTAAGAAACTACAAGGGTGAATCTAGTGAATCCTACTTCCTATGTAAATCAAGACAAATTGCAGAATTCACTTTAAAAGGACATATAAAGAAAAATCTTATGGTGAAAAATGACTCATTTGATTCTGGATTTACATGGCAACATTTGAAACTAGTGGTCTAGCTAACCCAGGCAACCATGCAGAAAGAGTTACAACATTCATAGAAATACCCGAGTAATTCTTGCCAACAGTAATTTTTGGAAGTAAAGAAAGAATGAATAAGAATGGTTCATAGTTTCAGTGTTGGTAACTTATTACTGAGTTCATGTTAACAAAATCAGGTCTCTTCCAAACATAAGCATGTAAAATATTTTTACTGGCTTGAAAGAGACTGAATTCTGTTAGATACATGCAGCACTGAAAACTCTACCTCGACATTTAAAGAAAAAAAAAAAAAAAAAAAAAAGCCTGGAAAAAAGTAACTTTATTTTCTTCAATGACTCAGTTTTATTTTAAAGTCCAGGTAAAAACTCTGGGACCAGTTTACTTTTTATAACATCATGGCCTCCAAATAAACTATAAAACAAATCCCACACTCTTAAACAAAACAAACAAAAAAGTGTTGAGCGAAGAACTCAACACTTGTTCTGAAAGGGTGAAAACACTGGTAACATTATTTTCACTCCAATCACTTGACTCATCTGAACGAAAGCTTCCCGAATGCTGAGTGTTCTCGTGGTTCCCAAGAGCATCCAGGAGGAAGAATCTGAGGCAGGGGCTGGCCAGGCAGCGGAAGTGCTTGGTGAATGCAGCACTGGGTGGCAGGACCCTGTCAGGGGAAGGCTGCTACACATCGCTGGGTGACCGCGCTCTCTGGGAGAGGCTGGACGGGATGCAGCCGCAGCAAATGAGGCAGAGGGCTTTCTGGATCTCTTGGTTTCTGAAAGCGTATATGACAGGGTTGATGATGGAATTGTAGGTGGCGGGCAGGAGGGTGGCGTAGGTGTAGATGGAGGGATAGGTGTAATCAGCTATCAAGGAATAGAGGGTGAAAGGCATCCAGCAAGCAGCAAAGGTCCCCAGGATGATGGCCAGGGTGGAGACCCCTTTCCGGGTGGTCACGTAGTGCGAGGTGGCCAGGAAGTGGTGCTGCAGGGCTATCTGGTGGGCGTGCCTCATGACGATCTTGCAGATCTGGATGTAGAGCTGAAGCATGAGCGCAAACGTGAAGAGGAAGGAGACAGAAAGGATGGCCGTGTTGTTCTTGGTGAGGGGTCTGACCACGCTGCAGGTGGACTCATCTCGGAGGCAGTTCCAGCCCAGGACGGGCAGCAGACCCAGGCAGATGGAGGTCCCCCAGAGCATGATCAGCATGACATAGGTAAACGTGACTGTCCTCTCCGAATGGTATGTCAGAGCATAATACAGGGAGAGATAGCGGTCAACAGTGATGGCCAGTAAGCTGCAGACAGAGGCAGAGAAAGAGGCGACGATGAGTCCAATGGTGACCAGCTTGGTGGCTTCTGACTGAAGCAGGTAGGCAAAAACAAAATTGATGATGAGTCCAATGCCGGCCAGCAGGTCTGCAAGAGCCAGGCTGCCAATCAGCAGGAACATGGGGGCTCGCAGGCTGGGGTTATGGAAGATGATAAGGACCACGATGGCATTTTCACAGGAGATGAGAGTTCCTGAGGTACACAAGACAATGTCCCAGGGGTTGACAACAAGCTCTGGCTCTACAACAGGAACCTGGGAGGAGACAGCAGCTGAAACGTTCTCGGTAGCAGCATCGTCATCTAAGTAATCCCGAAGCAAGCCGCTGAAATTGACCTTCGGGTCTCCGTTCATTTTAACCCCTGTCCTCTTCAACGAAAAGACAGTTTTTAATGGATAGGTACAGCAGGGGGACAGTTCAAGATCATGCAAAACTACACACAAAAAAGCCAGCCCCTCTTCAAATACGGCTATCAAATGCCACAAGCTGCGTGAATTATACACTGTTATGAAATGAAATAAAAACCAAAGTCTCCATGATTTAAAACTCCCTACAACAAATGCCGAGCTGCGTTGGGGAAAACATAGAAAAGGACTTCAAAACACGGCCGCGCGAGAGGCAGGCCCACCGGGACGGCGCGGTCTGTTTGCTAAAGTGCGGGGATACCCATTCCAGCGTCGCATCCTGCACGCCAGGCACGGATAGCTGTTTGACATCTGGCTGCCGGAGCACAGCACGCGGCGGCCACACGTCTCCAGCCAGCCGCCACCCCCCCTGGAATATCCAAATCGTCCGTTTCCATCGAGCTCCCACCTTCTAAAAAAATCCCGGGCGCGCGTGCACACACTCATCCACACCCCCAGCCAGAACAAAGAGGGGTCCGGACTTCCCCCATGTGCACAAAAGGCGGTGTGGAGGTGTGGAGACAGGCAGGCAGACAGACAGACAGACAGACGAACCGACTGATGCTCAGACACTGCCGCCGCTCCCCTGGCGGCAAGGACGGGCGACGGACGCGAGGGGGACAGGCAGGGCGCCGGGACCGCAACCGCGGGGCGGGGGTCATCTGGGGGATCACCTTGGCGCGCGCAGGCCGAGGGGGCTCCTCCCGTGCGTCCGGAGCGCGCGGCAGAGCGTGTCGTAGGTGGGCGCCGCGGCGGGCGGCTGAGAGGGGCGGCGGCCGCGCGGGAGGGGCCGGAGGCCCGGGCGCGCTCGGCGCCAGGTGAGCGGCGGGCGCCAGGTGAGCGGAGAGCTGGGCTCACGCGCCCCGCTCTCCCGCCCGCCCGCCGGGCTCACACGCTCCCCGCACGCGCGCGCGCGCCCAGCTCCTCGCCCGCACCGCGCGCTCCCGCCCACGGGAGCCCGGGAGGCCGGCGCGCGACCCCACGGGTAAGGGCTGCGCGGGGGCGCGGGCAGGAGAGGGCGTCCCCCAACATGGTGAGAGCCTGGCACCGCTCTCAGGAAGGGAGAGAACCTGGAGGCCCGAAGTGCACCGTCACCCCCCCTGCCCGCCGCCCCTCATCCCCCCCCCGCTGGCTGTCCGGGGCTGGCACGCACGGGGCGGGGGCCGGGGAGCTCTGCCCGGGAGCCCCGTGACCTATTTCGTTCCCGAGGTCTCCCTGGGGAGTCCCAGTCTCTAGAGGCCGCTTCTCCCCGCCTTTCCCTAACTACTACCTACATTCGCGGTCACATGAATTGCCTAGGGTGGTATTCAGGGTTCCCAGCTGGGTATGGGATGAACAAGTTAGGGAGGCAGATCATACAGCAGCGAAATGCGCAGCCATTAGCTCTTTACATTGCATCCCCATTCCAAGGGGCCCCCTTCCCTAGGTGTGTCCTGGACCTGGTTCATTAATTACTGTGCCCAGGAAACATTTGCTTAACTGGATGTACGGTGCGGCTATGTAAATCGTTAGTATCATCAAGGTGCACTTATTAACTGCTCCTTGAGCGGTGTTTTCACGTGGAAATCATTGACTGAGTGAGTTCCTGCAGAAGCTTCCTGCAGATGCAGGCCCCAAACCAATTCAGTTAGGTACTGAAGTAACAGTGTTCATTTATTTTTTCCATTTTAACACATCAATGGGTTCTAAGATTAAGAACCTGATAGCAGGCTGCTCTTATGAGCCTGTGTCTCCTCTGCATACAAAAAACAGAACACCCAATAGATCTTACATGTAGCGATGATCTCCCAGTTTAAAGATGTGAGAAGGAAAAGGCATGGTGTTCTGGTCTTTCCCTGTCAGCAGTGAAGGTTTTTCCAACTCTCTCTCTTCACACCACCTGCAGGACTCTGTACCAATGGAGATGATCTGCAGAGCACAGGACCCTAGACCCCTTCCATTCTCCTCTGGCCATCCTGCCTCCCTGCCCCTGGAGCTCTCTGTCATTTCTGACCCCAGCCTTGCAGTCTCAACCACCTGTAACGTTGCCTTCTCCCTTCTCCTCCCCCATCAATCACCTCCAGCCTCTGCGAGATCTCTCCAGCTGTCCTTGCATGCCAGTTATCAAACACAGACCAGTCGTTCTGGGGTAGGGCCCAGATTCTGCCTTTGCCACCCCCTCTCCCAGTGATCATGATGCTGGTGGTCGATGCACTGCACTTGGAGAAGCAAGGTTGTATTGCTTGTCCCTGATGGAGAGTCTTCAGACACCTGCACCTGCGGAGAACCGTGCTAATGCTGGGCGTACCGATTTGGTAAGACAGGGTCTCTCTACTCGTAGACGTGTGTATGGTCTACTGGTGACAGACATACAAAACCGCAATGACACCAGGCAGCAAATGCCGTAATAAAGGGATATACATCTTCCTTTCAAGTGCTATGTGATGAATCGAAGCTTTTCTAGAAAACACGATGAAAAATTGTTGTGTAAAATACACACAGCATTTTCAGCACGCTCCAGTTCAAACTGCTGGCCGAAGTTGCAGGAGTCTCACGTTGGCAGGGCAGGTAGGGAAACCAAGGCACAGCACCAGCCAGACACGAGTCTAGTCCATAGCACCGGCACAGGCCCCGACCTACAGAGCTTCCTGTTTCATGTCTTTGGAAATAAGAAGACAGAGAACTGAGAGTTGGGGAAGCAGAAAGGTAACGAGGAGGGTGGCAACGTGTGAGCGCTTCTGCAGTGAAAACGGAGAGAGTGTAAGGAAGAAACAGGGCAGTTGGCTGTGCACTCACAGTTCTGCTCAGTAGCCCTTCCCCTTGAGAGACACCTGGTAACAAAAAGAATGTCAACTTTACTGTAGTCCTAATCCAATGTTCACTGGGGTATTTGTTCGGACTTTTGTTGCCAAGGGGCAGAAATCCAATTCAAACCAGCTTGAGAAAAAATGGGTGTTGTTGTCTGGCATGGCTGGGAAGGATCCGTGCAGTGGGTCATAGAGAAGAAGGAGAAGCTGTAGGAACCTGGGTGCTGACACTCCCAGGCAGTCCCTGTCCCTGACTCATGTCTTGTCTGTGCCATCCTCACACTGTCCTCTCCTAGACAAGCACCTCCGGTGCAGCCGTCCAGGTGGGCCAGGCAGCCCCTGGCTTGCATGCTGAGGTGTCTTCCTAGCTGGTGAGAATTCCCTAAGAACCGGCCACCCTGGCGTGGGCCCAGCCCTGAGCCTACCATGCGGCTAGTGGGACGGGATGAATCAGTGGCCAGGCCAGGATCTGCATAGAGTCCCGCAATGGCCATCTGACCTTCACCGAAAGGGCATTTCCCTCGAGGGAAAAAGTGAGGTGGGACACGGGGTGGTGAGAGACTGGTGTCGTCTCCAGCTTGAACAGTCGTGTGCAGACAGGTTCACACAGCCTTCTGTAATGTAGGTCACGAAACAGCTGTCTGCAAGGCTGCTTCTCAGTTTGTTGGCCACCTTCGCAGGACACGGTAGCAGGTGCCCTCAGTATGTGACATTTACTGTCTTTTCATCACTTAGATTTTTGCCTTTTTTTTTTTTATAACTTTGGCAAGAAATTATAAATCTTCCCGCATAATCAAGCATGTTTTCAGCCTATGCTAACAATTTCTGTTTGGTGAGAAAAAAGCTCTGTGCCCATTTAAAAAAAATATTTTTTTTCTTTATTGACTTTAGAGAGAGAGATAGAAACATCGATGAGAGAGAACATCGATTGGCTGCCTCCTGCATGCCTCCCACTGGGGATCGGGCCCACAACCTGGGCATGTGCCCTGACCGGGAATCAAACCTGCGACCTCTTGGTGCATGGGTCGATGCTCAACCACTGAGCCACACCGGCCACATCTTAATCTATGCAGTGTCTTCGCCAACTTCACCCTGTACCTGTGCCTACTAACCCTTCTTGGTCATTGAAAGTGTGAGTCATGGGCTGTCCCAGATTACTGGCTGGAGGAAGTCGGACCCCAGCCAGTACTGCGCTGTCCATGGTGTGGGAATGTTCCTAGCCTGCCTCCCTCCTGCTTGTGTTGAAGATTACCAGTCAGCCCTCTATATGTGCTTAATTGGTGCACTGACGTGGATCTGATTGATCACGTTCTTCTGCCAGCCAAGGGCCTATGTCACAGCTGAGAATACAGCACGACTCTAAATGAAAATTTAAGTTTTATTAATTCTTTAACTTACAGTCAGTTTTGTTGCAGAAAGCGCCTATGTCAGAAGTGCACAGCATGATAAAGAGATGCCAAAGGACTCTAACCATCTTGAGAAATAGAGTGTTCCTGGCACCCCAAAGCCTTCCTCTTGCCCCTCCCAGTTATTATCCCCATGGGGAGAAGGAATCCATTATTCTACATTTGAACACCACAGACTAGGTTTGCCTGGTTTTGAACTTTACATAAATAGGCATACACTGCATGTACCCTTATGCCTGGCTTCTTTCACTCATCATGATTTCTCTGAGGTTTATTTATGTGTTGCATGGAGTAGTGGTTTCACCTTTTTAATTGCTGTATAGTATTCTACACCACAGGTTTTTTTTTTTTTAATCCATTCTCTATTCATTGACATGGGGTTGTTGTCTGGTTTTGACTACTGCAAACAATACCACAATAAGCAACATCCTTGTACATGTCATGTGATGCTCATATGTATATAATTCTATTAGGCATGTCTTGTAGGATGAAGAATTTCTCTGTCAAAGTATACTTTCACGTTTAATTCTCTATTTAAACAAACCTGGCTGCTATTCAAGGACAGTGAGGAGCCTGCAAAAAAAATAAATAAAAAAAAAATCAAAACATGTCTGTTCTTTCCCCCTTTATAAATCCCTGTAGACTTTGAAAACAACCAAAGACATAAGGAAAGAAAGGAAACATCACTGGAAATGTCTGGTCTGTGAGTCTGCGTGAGAAAGGAGCGCTCGTGGGTCCTGACACTGCCTCGTTTCTGTATGCACGTTTGTGTTTCTAAAACTGTATTAAATTTTAAATGTCTTTTCCTGCCTATAAATAGTACATATTCATTACAGAAATATTGGAGTTCTCAACTCAAATTAAGAAGTAAAATGACCTGTCTTCTTGCTTTCAGAGATAGCCACTGGGAACTTCTGTTAATATACATTTTCAATGCATTTATTTTGGATTTATTTTTTGGCAGACTAAGTTGACACATTACTTTCAGAAATATTTTATGCTCAGTGTGGCATGGAGTGATAGTTTTTTTTTTTTTTTCTTTGGATTTGAGCTGCTAGCTTGTCTGGTCTCTGTGTCTTCCGATGGTCCCCAGGGACAGTCCCCGTCTCCACAGATGCTCGCTGACCTCTCTCCTCTCCCTTCTTCCCATCTCCTGCCGCTGCCTCTCAGTCCTTGTGGTTGGCCAAATAATGGCCCACACGGCGTCCAAGTCCTCATCCCTGGAGCCTGGGCATGGTCCTGCCATGGCAAAGGAGACTTTGCAGGAGTGTTACAGTTAAGAATCTCCACATGGCAGAGATTATTCTAGATTATCCAGGTGAGCCCTAAATATAGCCATAAAATCTTTATAAGAGGGAGGCAAAAGAATTGGAGTCTGGCCCTGGCCGGTTTGGCTCAGCAGTTAGAGTACCGGCTTGCGGTCCTGAGAGACCCGGGTTCGGTTCCCGGTCTCTCTCACATCTCTCTCTCCCTCTCCCTCTCTCCCTCCCACTCTGAACAAAAAATGGAAAAATGTCCTCAGGT